CTACTAGGAGCAAGGACGCTACTAGGGGCTCCTGGCATTGCATAGGAGCAAGAAGCTACTAGGGGCTACTGGCCTTACTACTAGGAGCAAGAAGCTACTAGTTACTAGGGGCTCCTTGCCTTACTAGGAACAAGAAGCTCAATGGACATAGGGTCATGTGGATTCTTTTGGTCCAATGCACGTGAATCCTACTTCCGGATATCATAGGCATTTTGCTCTCTTGTGTGTGCAGGCATGTCTCCTGCAGAATTGCAAGGCTCAAGGTATGGTAAATAATGGGATGCAAAATTAAAGCCTTTGCTAATCAAATGTAGGTGTCAAAACACGAAAACATAATACATAGATTTTGAACCATATCTAGCCTGTGAGGAAAGGGTATGTCTTAGTAGAATATCTTAAAATGATAGGACCCCGAAGCAAATATATTTAGTCAATTTAGTCGAATTCGACAGAAGCAGATGCCTCCTCAAACAAGTCATTACCGGTTCCACCATACAACTGCTGGCCAAGGTTAGTGGTGGATATGATCTCGCTGCAACCTGGCGGAACATGGAGCGTCTGTGCAGTTCGATGTTTGCTTGGCTTTCTGGTCCAGGCAAGAGCGGCCTGGGAAATACTGTAATCACACATGAGTTGGGACAAGGAACATCCTCTACAAACCCAGAGAGATTCAGCTTCAGAACTTGGACCTTAGCATGTTGTTGAACAAATCAATCTTCTCGAAGAAAGATGTTCACTGAGGATCTTTGGATTTGGCCTTGTTTGCGGGGATATGTCATGGCTTTCCAACCGCAGCAGATTTGATGCCAAGGTTCTTGGTGGATCAAAAAGCTGCTGCTACAGTTGCTCGGACGCGTTTGAGACTTTTGAGGGGCAACACAACACCGGAGATACCACGAGAACATGTGCAGTTGGGCGTGTATTTGAGACTCCCAAACCAATGGGTTTTTAGTCACTTTAGTTTAGTCCATGTTCCTTTGTCCAGGGCTCTTTTGGAGGGTCACCCTGTTCTGATGCAGCCCCACAGGCCATGGACAAAACAATCCAAGTCCCGTTGCGGGATGTCACTCACTCATTCCTAAAGGGATCCTGCGGGCAAATCCCATACCGTAGTTGCCCTTGGTGATGCAGTAAACCACGTAATAGATAATCAAGATGTTGATACAGTATAGAACATTGGTTTGCAGTTCTCTAAACAGAATGCGTACAGCTTGAGCTGTACAATGGCCTGGAAGGATCGATCGGGGCTTGGCAACTTGCTACACTGGGAGGATGAAACAGCCAACGACCTTTGCAGTCACGTTTAAGAAGCCTCTCATGTCAGCGTGGTCCCGTGGCATGCTGTTTGACCTCTCCGTTTCACAAGTTTGTCCTCGTGCGCCCAGAGAGTTCTCATTGCTACAGATCGGAATTCACACAGTAAATAATAGTAAATATATATATATACACTATATACTGTATACTTTAATTTTGCTGACATAGCTTTGCCGACGCCAAGTTTCAAGTGTCAAAGCTTTCGGTTTGTTGGGAACCTCCAATTAATGAAGCTCCATGTACTTTCCTGTTACCACCTGGCTATTTGGAGACACAAGCATATGAAACAAATGTTTTGGAGACACTAATCTTCAATCCATCAGGATTGTTGGTGATGCAAATGGAAAGCTGGGAGCCAAAGAATGATCATAAATCAACATGTGTTCATTCCTGTTGTGATTCCCAGAGATGATCCTGAAGCTGGAGTTGATGGTCTAGAGATTCCTGTGGACGGTGCCCTCAGATCAACTAATTTACCAAGTGCTCTCACTTGCTCGTAGTGACACAATCTGGATAGAGAAGAGCAGAATCATCTCGCTCGAACCCTGAGAGGTTCTCTGTTTGTTTGCTTGCTTGCTTGCTTGCTTGCTACCTTCCAACATGCTGGGTTAGAAAACATGTCAATTCCCTTTATTTGAAACTAGGATCTCAGCTTTGGCACCCTGATGGAGGATGGCCTTGAGTCTCAGCGAAATCCGCCGATCCAATAGGGTGGTGGTCAGCCAAAAGACCCACAACAAGGTCAGCTAGGCAAAGATCCCCAAACCCAGTTTATACATGTTAAGCATTGCTTCAATCATTGTATATAGAGTAATCACGGTCACTATACTGACATATTGACGCCTATTGCATATAATTAATTTTCATAGTGCAGCCCATTGTAGAATCTTAGGCTATTCAAATAAGCTTAATACGAGGAGATATGTCCTTGGTGACCTGCTCCCTTAGCGATCCAGCAGCTTCTTGAAAAAGCCAAGTGACCCACATCTACCGGAACATCTGGATTCCAGGTCACCTTGCTACGGCTCTTCCGGAACATCCGGATCTTGCGGCTTCTGAAGATTGCCGGGCGGCTCTCGCGACTCAAGGAACTGTGACGGACACTCTATAGATGTCAATGTTGTGGAGGTGGACGCGTGGGCGGGGGGTGGCAGATTTCTTCAGTCAAGGGCCAAGGGATTTTGGGGAGAGAGACAGAATGAGGCGGTGAGGCAGATATGCTGTCAAATATGTTTAATGTTGGATCTTGATTAGTAAATGGAGGATCCTCTAGAATTAACTACCACCAAAACAAATCTGGGTTCCTAGAAGGATTCCTTTTGTATATATTTGATTGTAGCATTAATTTTCCTTTATGAAGTTCTTTGTCATTAGGTATTCTTTGCAATCCTTTCATACTACTACATAAAGGATTGATTAAGGAATTGATGGCTGTGGGAAGCTGTGAGTTTTGAAGAAGAACTTGAGAAACCTATACTTATCAACTCTTATCAATACTCTCAGCAAGCCAACCATTGGCTTAGTAACATTAAGAATTACTAGTTTAGCTTTCTTCAGGAAAAACGTTGCACAATTGAGGACCCTTAAAACAAATTCATTATTGAGGATCACGGGCCTTCCAGGTCTACTACCTTGAAAATTTGTTTAGGAGCAATCTTTACATAAAGGATTGATTAGGGAATTGATGGTTTTGGGAAGCTATCAGTTTTGAAGAATAACATACTTATCAATACTCTCAGCAAGGCAACCATTGGCTTAGTAGTAATTACTATTTCTATTTTTTTAACGGAGATATACTTAACCCTAAATATGGTTTAGATAATTAAAAAGTAGGATCCCAAACAAACATAGCATAATAGAGGATCCTTAAAACAAACAGGGTGTCAATAATTATGTTTCAAAAAATTAGCATTATAGAGGGCCCTATTACTAATCAGCGTCCAACATTACACACGAAAACACATACACATGCATGTTGAACCACTTGGGAAAGCAGCTGTTGATTAAAGATAAGAGGGACACAGTGCTTCTTTAGCCCAAGTTCCACGGAGGCCGTGGCTGCAGACTTCAGTGGGCCGCTTTCCAAAGATCAAGACAGACACAGACACCTTCTAAATTGCTGCCATGGTGAAAGGTCTATTCGCCCTTGCTATTCTCACTCCCCTTCCTCTCGCTCTCCCTCTCTCTCGCTCTCTCTCGCTCTCTCTCTCTCTCTCTCTTCCTGTCTCACTCATTCCTCTCAGTTGGCACTCTCGCATTGATTATCCCTGTCTCTTCATTTGGCTTTCTGTTAAGATTGGATTTGGACATCTGGAGGATAATGTTTGTTTGCCAGGAAGATGATGAGAAACATATAATATACATAAATATCAATCGACTGTAAGATTGCCTCGCACATCATTTGCGTGTAGTGTAGCAGGAGATGTTTGTCGGCTTGGACTATGGCCTGGAATGGACTTCCGTGTACCTGGCTACCGCGATGACTGTTCTGAAACAGCCACTTTGGCGGATCAGACGGGAGAGGACCAACAGGGCGGCAGAGGAGTTAAATATCCTCAATCCTCCACGGTCGGCGAACAAGTTGCTTCAACTTATTCCAACAACCCACAAGAGATGCTTTGTTTGGCCAAATGCGGCCACCGCAGATGGGGCCACTCTCCCAACTTTGACTACTGTAATTGTCCATCAGTCGGCAATTCTCGTTTGAATATCGCGGAGCATTGAGTGGCATGGCTTGCATAGCATCTAAGGATTTGCGTCATTTCATTGCTTTGTCATTTCTCTGGCTGTGCCTGGTATGCTTTGGGGACGTTGGCGATGGAAAACACTTGGATAAAGGCCACTTGGTCAAGATGGTGGTTGAAGAGAGCTGTATAAGATCATTCATTGTATGTGTCCAGTTGCAAACATATTATGAATAATATATAAATATGGAAATGCATGCCATGCAATTGAATCCAGAAGGCAGAGTGTCGAACAAGTTAACGTGCTTTACTAGCTCTTTGCCATGCCAATTTGTTTTACCCGAAGCGAGAGCTTGCATCCATTCTATTGATGGACAACAAGGTCGGCCAGTGGACTACTGTTCATATGGTTTTGAACCGGATGTCACTGTCACCCACAGCCAAATCGCAGAACGTCCAGATCTGTGGAAATCTATCCATAAGTGAGACCCAAACATGGCACCTTTTCCTTAGTCAGAGTCCTGCGAGCCGGAGGCAAGCCACACGTCTAAATCATCCTGAATCTGTGTGTAAATCATTATATAATACATTATATAAGAATCCTATACTGTCTCAGAGAAGGTTTACAGAAGCCCCGACAGCATCCGCCTATGTGGTGGAAGTCATGATGTTCCTTCTACTCCAGCATATCTCCTTTCAGGTTGGTAATCAATGATCAATAGAATAATAACATATTCCACTGGCTTTGTACAATGTCAGCGATGTTTGGCAGATAGGGAGGAAAGACTGCGATTGCGTCAGAGAACTTAAATTGAACTAATCTCACACTCACACATGCCATACGGTTGACTAGTTCTCGAATGGTGATCTTTGACGATGGCTCTATGGTGCCTTTCCCGTGTCTGGAACGGTGTCAGCCACGATCAGGCTATTCAAGCAAGCTCGGGCTCGGACACGGATATTATGTACATGTATGTGACCTCCTTGCATTGGCTTCTTAGCAAAACTGCATGCCATAGGCACGGGTCGATGCGGTTTGGAAAGGTGCAAATGTGAGTCCCAATTTCGCAGCAGTCAATTGTACACCAGTCAAATGATTGGTGCCCGGAAAAGAAGGAGACACAATTTGATCAAGGAATCTGGGACCACCTGACACATGATTCCACCTGGGTTTGGTGATCCCCAGTGGGACAGGATGTTCTTCGTTCCAGAGAGATTTGCAGTCGTTTCTGACGTTTGGATCCTTTGTGGTTTGAGTATTGTTACCACTTAACAAGAAATTTGCAGGCCCTTTAAACAAGGAAAAGCGGATTTGGGCCATCTCCTGATCTGAAAGGACAAGCTTCCCTTGCACCATGGACAATCCCTAGCTGAGTTTTGACGGGTATGCGGTATGCGAGGATGTTTTAGGTTTGTAGGCTGCAAGGCCTAGATCCCCACATCCCTTCCGCTCTAGTTCCCTGTCTCTTTCCGCAAAAAAGCATTGGTGTGCCCAAGTTGACCCATTAATGTGCTCATCTCACATCATCTCACCATATAGGTTTGATCTGGGTGGACAGCCCAGGGTTTCAACATGCAGAGCTGGACCAATCACTGACAGGTAGTCTTCATGGCACAAGGCTTTTTCAATCTTTACAACACACACACACATATATATATATATATACAGCAGGCAGGTCTGTAGTTGTAGGCAATTGAGGGAAGACATGGGTAGTTGGGGTCGACTGGGTAGTCAGTTGAGCTTTTCAAACAACATTCCAACTCTACCTTTTTGACATGTCATAAAACATCTAGATAGGGAGAGAAAGCCCCTAGATCCTTGTCTTCGACATGCCCTGTATCCTCCAGACTATGGAATTTGGAGAGAGCAATTTCCTGTACCACCCTGAAGTACCACTGGTGCGGAGCAGTTTCTGGTCGCCCCTCAGATTCTATTTTGAAGGCTCCCTTTCTGGCCTCAATAGGTTTCTTACCTCAGCATCCATGTATTTACCTCCTTCAAGTGCACAGTACAAGTAAATATAACATTTTAAGAAACAACAACTAGACGACGGTTGGCCGGAGAGCGAGACATGTAATTGTCCAGCACTGTCGAAAAGATGTATAGAAAGAGAGAAAGAGAGGGTGGATGTGAAGGAGTGACAGTGTGATGTGCAGGTGCGATATAGATCTGTAGATGTATGGAGGTGGAGAGGTAGATCTGTGGATGTGAGCGTGCGAAGATGTAAATGCGCAGAGACGAGAGAAAAGATATGTAGAAAGAAAGAAAGAAAGACAGGACAGATGTGAAGGAGCGACAGTGTGGATGTACAGATGTGATATAGATGTGCAGATGTGTGGGTGTGGCGAGGTGGAGAGGTAGATCTGCGGATGTGAGCGTGTGAAGATGTAAATGTAGAGAGGTGAGGGGGTGTAGACGTATATGCGTCGATGCAACGGCAATGCAACGTCAACCTTAGTCGTGCAAGTACAACGCTGAAGAGGTTCAACTAGAACTGAAGAACGTACATTTCACACTGAAGTTTCCACGAACAGGGCGACCTGAGAGTAAACGACGTCACGATCATGACAAGCGACTCGTGTATTCCAAGCGAACATCGTTTGTCATGAAGGTGAAGTACACACATACTAACGTCACGATGACTCTTTTGTGGCAGCCACTTATGAGTAAGCAAAGTAGCTAAATTTTGTCAACCTCTCAAGAGAGCCGGGTGGTTGGGAGACATGACTCAGCTGCAGGGGCGCGAGAGATGACTCAGCCGCGAGAGATGACTCAGCCGCGTACTCAAGTTGTACTACCAAGTCGTCAGTTCTCAGCTTCCAGCTCCACAGCTTGCTCCGCGTACTAAAGTTGTACTACAAAGTCGCTAGTTCTCGTCTTCCAGCTCCCCAGATACCCCGCGTACTAAAGTTGTACTACAACTTCGCCAGTTCTCATCTTCCAGCTCCCCATGTACTACAAAGTCGCCAGTTCTCAGCTTCCAGCTCCACAGATTGCTCCGCGTACTAAAGTTGTACTAGAAAGTCGCCAGTTCTCATCTTCCAGCTCGCCAGATACTCCGCGTACTAAAGTTACTACAAAGTCGCCAGTTCTCAGCTTCCAGCTCCACAGATTGCTCCGCGTACTAAAGTTGTACTACAAAGTCGCCAGTTCTCATCTTCCAGCTCCCCAGATACTCCGCGTA